GAAATCATCAATTTGTCATCTCATCCTAACTCCGTTAAGTTTTCCATCCAAAATTCAAATGACTTGTGTTCAAGGTTATTTCTATCATTTAAGATCTTTTCACAAGTTCTTTACTTTTCTTTAGCAAAACTCTTAAATTTTGTGTTCCGACTTCCGAGGGTATTCATCTGGATCATTGTGTTTCAAGTAGCGTATATGCATCTACAACTTCATTTCTGGCACCAAACCTCAACTCGTTTCTCATATTACAAGGTCCATATAAAATTTGATTTCATGACATGCTAAACTGAACACTCTAGAATTGTTTTGATCTAATGCAACTTAATAGAAGAAAGTGGGGTGTTAAAATGACATAGATAACCCTAAACACAAGTCATGTGCCTCACACATGACTTATTTTGGATGGAAAACTTAACGAAGTTAAGGTGAGATGAAACTGAACACCCCTAAACACAAGTCATGTGCCTCTCACACATGACTTATTTTGGATGGAAAACTCAACGAAATTAAGGTGAGATGATAAATTGATGATTTCGGAAAATTGGTATGACAAATTACTTAAAATTTATAAAGGAGAAAAAAAGAAAAAAGAAATAAAGAAAAAATAAATAAAGAAAAAATAAATGCAGGCTGTGGGGTTCGAACCCACGCGTACTTATGTACAGCAGATCTTAAGTCTGCCCCCTTAACCTCTCGGGCAAACCTGCTTCACGTTTGTAGTTTACTAAAGCCTTCTATTTATCCAACTTCACATTGAATACAATTATGCAAGATACAAGAATAGCACTGCTGCCGCTGCGCGTTTCGTAAAACTTAAAACCCTAAAACAAAGATCCAAGGCAGAATTCGACATCTTCCCAATTCGGAGGTCTCACAGCCATGGCGGAGCACTTGGCATCCATCTTCGGCACAGAGAAGGACCGCGTCAACTGCCCCTTCTACTTCAAGATCGGAGCTTGCCGGCACGGAGACCGCTGCTCCCGCCTCCACACCAAGCCCAGCATCAGCCCCACCCTCCTCCTCTCCAACATGTACCAGCGCCCCGATATGCTCACCAACCCCGGCGTCGACCCCCAGGGCCAAGCCCTCGACCCCCGCAAGATCCAGGACAACTTCGAGGTCCGTCTGTTTCTCTCCCCCCCCCCCCCCCCCTTTCTCTTTCTCTTGAATTGGGATTTTTTTTTTGGGTGCAGGATTTTTATGTCTCGAATTGGGATTTTGTTTTTGGGTGCAGGATTTTTATGAGGATCTGTTCGAGGAGCTGAGCAAGTACGGACAGATCGAGAGCTTGAATATCTGTGACAATTTGGCTGACCACATGGTATAATTTTCAATTTCTAGGGTTTTTTTGGTGTGTAATTTTTTAGTTTTCTAGTTTTGTTTGACTAATTGATTGTGTGTTTGCGTGTGTAGGTTGGTAATGTGTACGTTCAGTTCAGGGAGGAAGAACATGCTCAAGCTGCGCTTCAGAATCTCACTGGCAGGTTCTATGCAGGTTAGTTCCCCATCTTTTTCTTATCTTGGTATGTTACGAACATGATGGTCGATATTCGTGATGCTATGGTGGTTTTATCTGCCGCTGTAATATGATTTGCCGAAGTCCTTTTGATTGATTCGTGATCGGTAGATGTATTGTGCTACATGACAGTTCAGTGTTTATTGCTCATTTTTGCTGAACTTCCAACTTAGAGCCGAGCTATTAATGAGGATTGGGTTTATTTTGAATTTTCGATTGATTGAATTTTTAAACATGCTGTCTATCAGGGCTGGCCTTGAGACTGTTGGATTTAGGATGAAAGCAAATCGTGCATTCACACAATCGCACATAAGAAACTTCTTTGTATATTGTTAGAAGACCATATGTATGTAATAGATTTTCAATCATGTGAGTGAGTTGCTCAAATTTTAATATGTGATGGTGTTGCATAATTATTTCCTGGCTTGGCATTATCATAAACTATGACAGTTCCATGGATAAGATTAAATAATAAATCTGGTTTCAGGTCTTTAGGTATTGAGATTCAAAGTTTCAGACCATGTCCAATTTAGCCCAAGTGGGTTGGAACGGCCGAATTAGGTTTTCTGAACTACAAGCATTGTACTTTGGTCCATCTTTTAATCATCTTAGATTATGATTTGATGAACTACATTTGTTCAGGTAACTCATAGTTTTTCAAGGATGTGTATATTGGATGTACTCTTGTTTTTCCTTTAATTGGACAAATCTTGAATCGATGCTTATCTATTATAGAGATGGATTGGTTCTTATATGTTTACATGTGTCTAGTTCTACTCGTTCAAACATACTTTATTCATATCTATATCTAGGCCGAAAGGGGAAGTTTCATTCCATTGACCATAAAGTTTACCTATGAGTAGATTACAAAATTTACTTTAAAGAAGAACTAAAGGATAAAAATGTCGTTGTTACATAATGGTTTGTAGATGATTCATACATCGACTATAAAACTTGATCTGTAGAAATGACTGCATGGTTGTCTTATAGTTGTTCGACCATTAAATTAGAGCACACGTATTTAATTCTGCAGTAACTTGTAAAACTGTTAATCATTACAACCATTTGCAAGTTAAGGTAATGAAGCTTTATCCTTCAGAATTGAATATATTGGTAGGATTCCATTCAATTTGAGTTATTTTGAATTGTATATGTTTGAATCTGGAGAGTTTTAAATTTTCTTGTCAGCCGGTGGTGGTGGCACTCTTATTGTTCTCTGATCTTTTTCATTGTTTTTCTTTCATTACAATGATAGTACTATTAGTATTAGTAGAATTACTGCTATCATGCAGTTACTAATGTTTTGGTAATATGATGAATGCTAAACATTCTAGGGCGTCCCATCATTGTCGACTTTTCCCCCGTGACGGATTTTCGTGAAGCTACCTGTAGGCAGTACGAAGAAAATGTATGCAATCGAGGTGGCTACTGCAACTTCATGCACTTGAAGAAAATTAGCAGGTGAGATGGTACTTTTCTCTTATTTTGCAAACAGCATGATTTTCATAATGACTTGTTTGTTTATGCACGTACTTCTATAAATTGTTAGGGAGTTGAGGAGGCGGTTATTTGGGAGAAACAAGCGAAGGCATAGTCGCAGTCGAAGCAGAAGCCGCAGTCCTCAAAGGCATCATCGTGGTGGTTATCAGGAGCGCCCACATGGAGGTCGTGGTTTTGGTAGAAGAGGAGAAGATGACAGAGATCATCGTTTCAATGATAAGAGCAGGAGGCCTAGAAGCCGCAGTCCTGGGCGTAGAGGAAGAAGTAGAAGCCCTGTGGGTGCTGGGGGAAGGAGGAGGAGTCCTCCAGCCAGGGAAAGTAGTGCCGAAAGAAGGGCTAAGATCGAACAATGGAACAAGGAGCGGGAACAGGTGGACTCTGGAAATAAGTATGATGACAATAATAACAGCAACAATCAGGATGATCAATGGAATGGTTCTGCAGAGAACAATGATCAGTACTACGACGACCCTCATCAGCAGCAGCAGTAGCACGCTAGATACAAAATTAATCTTCCTGCTTCCAAGATCAAGCCTCAGTTATTTCAAGCAGCTTACCGTGCTACTTGTATACAAGATGGCTGTTGTCCAAGAACTATGTCCATTATCTAATGTGATGGGTTTTGGAGGCGGTAAGGTAATTTTGTGATCTTGGTGCAGGAGTCTGCTGCCTACAATGGTGAGTTTTTATTATAGGAAACATCGTAGTGTACGTGAAGTAAGAGACATGAATGTTTTTACTGGAATTACAAGATATTTTCTGAGATGTCTTGATTAAGTTTTTCAAACCTCTGCTGTTAGAATTGTTAGCGTGATCATTTGTTGCTGCTTTTCCTAATTCGGGTGACTGACGGTGATTATATTATTATTCCTGCTACTTCCTTTATTCGAGTTTCTGTAGGATATGGCTCCCTAGTAGTTTATTCCCTGCATATGTGTCTGTAGGCCTTTAGTGCAATTGTAATTCTTGCTTCGGAAGAAATCAAATAGCAGTGTATTGGTTTTATCGAAAAATCGCATTCTCATCAAGTCTCAAAAGTAATTAACAACTGGTTCTGTTTTAACCAGCTTGGATGAGAATTGACTGCAGTTGATATGGGAGGCATTTTCTATGTAAAATTGTTCTGAATTCTATGGTTTTCGAATTTGAGACGTTATGAGTAACCGTTGCATTATTTTACATAGGTGTTCGTTGCTTTCGTTTCTTACCGAGATTTGGTCATTCTCGTGTTTAGAATTTCTGAAAACGGAGTTCAGTTAATTGAAAGTTAGGAACAGATGAAAATTTCACAATTTACCTCTCATTGTTGCACACACCACAAGCTAAAGCTTTCTAAGTTCTGGTCACCGAATTGAAGATGTTGCCAACCTCACAACTTAGTTACACCGATGAAGCCTACATCGTACGTGTGACGGAAGAAGATGGATCAAAATGTCTCCGGCCAAACGATCAGCAAATTCTGGGTGATCATTTACAGGTCTCTGTTACTTGGAATGTCAAGAGAACTTGCTATTCGGAATTTGAATGGCCAATCAAAAATTCATGCATTTGATGGTATATACTATATGCTAATACCATCATTAGAATCGGAATACTCGCAGCAGAAACACGTAGACGCCATGACATTTGAACACATGATATACGAGAAAATACCCGTTCTCGTTCCTTGGTTGCCGGGCGCTGGTTGGAGTGTTCTTCTGAATCCGCCGGAGCCACAGACGGCTGCGCTGGTTAGAGTGTTCTTCTGTCTGCGGATTCGGAAGAACCATTGGCAAACGTTTTCGACATGATTCAGAAAATATGCAACATGACGCAAGAAGTTGGACGTTCTTGTCACATTCGACAAGCAAATTACACTCTTTACCTCAACAATATGAAGCAGTGGAGCGGAGAACACTAGAGCCTAGGTGTGGTCTTTTTAAGTACTTTTCTCAATGAACTGCAATTTCGTTTTCGGCAATTCTACACACGAGATGACCAAATCTTGGTAAGAAACGAAAGCAACGAACAGCGACGTAAAATAACGAATCATAACGTCTTAAATTCGAAAACCACAGAACTCAGATTAATCAACTGCAATAAATTCTCATCCATGCTGGTTAAAACAGAACCAGTTAGTAACCAATAATCTCCGTTTATCTTGCTAAACCGAACTTCTTTCTTCTGGTCAAAATCCCAAAACATCACCATGTAGAGGGTGGAGAATAATCTGCCTCTCACTTTGCAGCACTGTGCTTTGCCTTTGTATGGCTTTGCAATGCACCATCCGAGTTAAACGACCTGCGTGAAGAACAGTGCAAGAAATTACAATTCCGTTTACGAAGAAACAGACAGTAGCAAGAGTTGAAACTTGTTCAAAAAATGAAATAGAATTACCTGTTGCAGGGTTGGCAATGGAATGCACCGCTTGATTTAGGAGCCTGCTGCTTTGACTGGTCGGACGTAGCTGGTTTTTTCCCAGTCTGCTTTGAAGGGTGTGGAGTTGCTGTGTGGACGCTGCCCTTCCTGCTACCTGCACTGACAAGTAGCAGTCAATTAAACATCTCCGCTTATATAATGGTCAGACAATCATCTCCATTTCAAAACGCCGCTGTGTGACAGGGAACATGTAACATATTCAATTGAAATGAGACTACAGACAGCACCCACCACAAAATCCAGGTTTACAAGTTAAAATTTGGCAAAGTACATGTTTAAATTTATTAAAACTTTGTAATACGCGTCTTCCACAGCACACACGAAAATGTTTAAAATGGTAACAGAATGAGAAAAAGCATTGGAAGACAGAGAACTTTACCAATCTTTTCAGGAGTAACAAACTTTGGCTTCTTGTCATTAGCAGGTGTTTTAGAAGATTCAGCAGGTCGCTTCTTGCCAACATCAGCCTTGACAACAAAAAAGACGAATACATTTACTTATCAACGATAATTTGATAACGAAAACAACACAGAAGGGATATAAGCACTCTTGGACATCAAAAAGTAAAGGCCTTTATAATAGGAGCGTTATTACCTTCTTCGGAGTTTCTTCATCCTCTTCACTGTCATCGTCACTGTCAGAATCATCATCACTTTCGTCAAAATCTTTACTGCTATCTCCCTCAGCCAAGGCCTATAAAACAACTCAGCAAGAAGATATATTCAGTACACATTGTCTCTGGATAATGCCATGCAAAATTACATCAACAAAGTTAAAACAATAATTTGTAATAAGCCAGAAAAAAAGTTTTAAAAATTCAGTAATCAGTTTCAAATGCAAGAAGTCGATCACTCCAGAGTGTTGTAGACATAATATAATGGCACGAATGTCAATTCAATTTTTTAAATGCCAAACTTCTAGTAGTCACATCTGGGAAATTTCTGTACACAAGTACGCATGCTCCAGAGCCAATAATTGTTTCCGATACCCAGAATCTATATTTCTAGAATTAACACCTAAATAAAGCTTTTTCTGTTCATATTTATTATGGATTAATACCGCAACTAAATATACCTAAAGAACAGAGATTATCGGAACCTTTCTAAACAATTACATAGAAATTGCACGTACAATACGTCCCAGAACACAAGTCCAATATCGTATATAACTTGGGCAATGAACATGTTTGTTTCAGATGTACTTTTCTCAGTTAATCACGGTAGGTAAATTACTGTTAGACATTCACATCTGGTAAAATATTTCAGTTATCGAAAGGAAATTCAAACAGAATTGAAAGATGTGAATACCTGATGACCAACAAACTCATCATCATCATCGCTACTAGCTTCCTTTTGCTCAGATTTAATAGGCTTCTTAGCTACCTCAGTAACATTAACCTTTGCTTTTCCTGCAAGCCAACTCGTTCCAAATCACAATATAAAGTTATTAAAAAGAAGAAGAAAAAGCCTCAAATCCCAGTAATAAAAAATGAATCAGTATTATCTTTACCCTTATCAACCAGAGTAGGTGCCCTAATAGGTGGTGCATCATCCTTTTCAGAATCTAGAAGAAAAAACAGATCAACAGCTTAAGAATCAAATGCGCTTGGAAGTTAGAACTATGATAAAACCAAATATCAGAATGGTGACTCACCAGACTCCACAATAGTGAAGACAAAACATAGCAGTCAAGGATTTAACAAAAAATTCAATGTTCAAGAAAGTAATCTGAGAACAAGTAACATGTAAGACACACCATTTAACGTGAAACGTCATTAAAAAAAAGGATATCACATAGACTTATATCCAGTGAAGTGGACGCTCCCATTTTTCCAGTTATGGGATAGCTCAAATTTCTCATCAAATACAATATCAAACATTAACTGAGGGGATTTCTCAGCAGAAAGAAACCCAAGAACAAGCTTCAGATCACCAACTTTTGCAAAGAGTGAAATAGGATCGCCTCCCTTCGCTTTCTTAAGGTCATCCAGACAAGCCTGCATTATAAAAATAAATTTTACACAAACTTGCGCAACATATTAAAGGCAAAAGAAACAGAAAAATGAAAAATTAACAGTCACAAAATTTTACAGCTAGCTGACTACCTGCGAAAGATGCAGAAGCTTTTCACCAGGATCAACAACAAGAGACTGACCACTTTTTACCTCAGCACCTGGACATTGAGTCACTTAAGTAGTCATTAATAACTGCAAATTTGAAAGTAAAGAGAAAAAAGGACATTGAGGGAAAAAAGTAAGAGATGCCTATTTTGCAATAAAAATTAAACAAGGGAGGGAAAAAACGCAAACGAGATTCCTGAATCACATCAACCCGATGCAAAAACAATTATGGAATAGATATCACATTCTATTCAATAACTTGAAACAGATAACAAATCATCCTTAACATATATCACATACAACTGTATTCACCACAAGCACATTGCATTGGTTCAAAACGAAATACAATGATTATAATTTTGTTACCATGGCACCTTCAACATGTACAAAGAATTAACACGTGCATTGCTGTAACTAAGAAGTAAGAAGCCACATGAAGAAAAATAACCTGGAATCTTAAACGTTAACCATCTCAACAAAAGAAAATTAAAACTTATGCTAGAGCAGAAATGCCACGCATGCCAAAAATCCAAGTTAAACATGTCAGCAACTGAAAAAACATTTACAAACTCAGACTAATTATATTTTCCATTTATTTTCTCGGCAAACAAACAGAGTGACTTAAGTTGTAAATAAGCAACAAAAAGCCACAAAAATACTTTCAAAACATTTTAGAAAGAAACAGAAGCTAAAAAACCTAAGTCAAGCGCTGCGAAAATTAACCACACCAGTCCTGCCATTTTCCCTAGTTTTCTCAGCAACCAAACAGCAAAAGAAGGTACTTTCCATTTATTTTCTCAGCAACAAACAGAGTGGATTAAGTTCTAAACGAAGAACATGGAGCCAGAATAATTTTAAAAACAAAAAAGGGCTTAAAAACCTAAACTCAAGCGCTACAAACTTCCGATCCACAGCATAAAATTTTAACCAGACTAGTACCGTCATTTTCCAGATTTTTCTCGGCGACCAAACAACAAAAACGTTACAAATAAAAACGCAAAAAATTCGTAATGAGAAAATAAAACCCTAACAAATCAAACGATCAGGGAGCGAGAGAAGTTTTCAAAATTACATAGAGAGACAGAGAGGAATACCCCAAAACTCCATTGCTTGCTAGTGCTAGGTCTTCTAGAAGGCTTTGCGGAATTTTCAATTTCTAATTTTCGGTTTCTTTTTCGGTGACAATTTTAATCTTGAGGAATGAGGCGGATCATTTTATATGGAGGCTCCATCGGGTTCTTCCCTAGAGAGATTTTAATGTGCCCGCGTTATTTGTACGGATTTTTTTTTTAAAGTTTCCTTTTCCACAATGACATATAGCGTAAGTTTACGTGCTCGTGTTACAAACACATTGAAATAATTCTCGTTTTTACAGTGAGATGAAGAGTGACAACGTTACACATGTCAAAAGGTTAAGCCTCACTGGTTGAGAGAATTTTCAATGAGCCAATGTCAAGCCCGATTGTTTCGAAGATTTTTTGAGCATGTCTAGTTCGATACATCAAGTATAATAATATAATTAATTAAAAATTAAAAAAAAATTTCATCGAATTATATTATAACATTTGATATACCAAACAGTGTTTTCAACGGACATAAAATTTTTACCGACTGGTTCGGCAACCCAGAGGCTGATGAGTGACCCAATCGGGCTTAGAGGCCAATAAAGTGCAAATTTTTAATTTCATAAAATACCCTTCTGATCAAATTTCATAAATACCTTTATTTTCGAAAATTATTATTGACACTCTAAAAATCTCATTTTGCACTCCAAACTTTCTATAATTAAAAAAAGAAACACTTCTCTCTGCAAAGAGCCTTGATGATTTGCAGGTGCAAGCGTTGTTTAGAAGCTGTGAAGGTTTGAGGATGGACCATCTGGCAAGCATTGGCTCGGCACAGTGAGGCCTTATAGACGATTCACACCTTCGTTTCTCAAACTTGTCTTATCTTACAAGTCTTCGTTTGGGGTATGTTTCTTTGCGGCAAGAAGACCGTGAGGAGTGTAGAATGAGATTTTTGAAGTGCTAATGACAATTCCTTTATTTCCTGAACAAACAAACTTAAATACAAGGCTTTTGGAAGAAAATAGTTAAAAAATAATACAACGAAAATTCCAAATTATACAACACATTTCCTCCAATCGACGAGCTAAAAAAATAGAATTACAAAGAATGTAAATCCTTTGAACAAACTAAGGTCAATTTGTAGATTGAATTTCTAAATCTTCCTAACTTCTTCTGGGATTCATTCAACACATTTCACATAAAGAATGGACGAGCAGCAGGATCACAATGAACTTCTATAACGAATCGCAAACTTCAGATAAATTACGCCAGTCGCCAGCTACCGATTCTTTCTATTTCTCTGTTTTCTTCGTTGATTCCTTCACGTACTCCTCCTTCTCGTTCAACCACAGGTCTGCAAACTCGCAATGCTTCCAAGCTTCAAACCACGGTCCTCCACGAGTGTAGTGTACAGCCTTGGGTTGTGTTTGGGGATCATTTTCAACGACCTTGTTATGTCCCTCGAGGAAATTCCACACAAATGGGATCGACCCTATTTCATTATCCTCGAGCCACTGAAACCTGTGAAGAAAAGCACCCGTTTCCTTATTCACAACCTCGGGTGTCAACACCTTGTTCTTGGGATGCCCACAGTTATACAATACCATGGAGGACCAGTTCTTCCTCGGATACACAGTTTGAACGGCTCCATCCATTTTTGTTGTCTCTTTTGGAGTATAATCATGTTGAACACACATTATAGCGTACTTATTGTCAATCAAGTCTCGCAGCTCCTTAATGTCAGCAAGGTAAAGAAAATCGCAATCCACAAACATTGCCCAACCTTCATAATTCGCCAAACGTGGAGTCAAGAACCGAGAAAATGAAAACTCAGTGCTTTCAAATTGCCCTCGTTCACGCCAGTAGAGGCCATCCTTTCGCAGATCTGATTGTTTGATTGGTGTGATCTCAACAGGGATTGAAGACCGCTTCAAAATTGAGTGGCGACAGACCTCATATGCGAGATCTTCACGTGGATCATAACCCACAAAGATCTTAAAGGGATTTTCCTTAATGTTGCCATTAGAACTCACTGGATGAATCTTCCCATCACTCGAACTCATCTTAGCTGATAAGATGGTACCTCACTGTTCAGAATCAAAACAACACGCAGAAGATTATTCAGACAATGAGTTTCAAATAAGTAATGAAAATCGTCGACGGATATAGAAATTTTCATGACATGGAATAAACCATGGATTATATGACAATTTCTCTAAAATCCAAGCAGGGAAATGGCCGATCATACAAATACCGAGTTTAACTAGTCGATTAATTGCTGAGCAAGGAAAAGATTATTCCAATTGAGATAAGCTGCCACCAAGGTATACAATTCACAGATCTGAATCGAAATTCAAAGACCATAACAAAGGGATTGTTCTTATTTACTAGTTCGAGATCTAAAACATCACAAACAACAACACTAGTGTCATGTGTTACCAAGACCCCTGTTTGGTTACCAAGAAAATGAAGGAAAATTGTGGATCTTAACACTTTCTGCTGCAATGGGTCAATTATTCATTTTCCAAAAATATGGAATTCTAGTTTCTGAGTCTCAATTTGGCAAAGATTAAGGATCCGAGCATTTAATTCCTCAATTTTCCATCATTTTCAATTAAATTAAACCAAAAACAAAAAACAAAATTCTGGGTTCTGCGTAATAAACCAAAATCAAATGCATACATCAAATGCAACTTAATCACCGTATATCCAAGATCAAAGATATTCATACAAGAAATCCAGAAAACCCCATATTTTTGAGTTTTAGAGAAATGCAGAAACACAGAAGCTAAATCGTAAACGTCATAAACCCAGAAATACACACAAAATTGCGGAAGCAGTACCTGGAGGTGGAAATGGCGCAGATCTTGCTGCAACTGCGGTGGCGGTGGCGCTTGTATATTCTTTTCTTTTTCTTTTCTTCAACTTTCCGGGAAAATTTATATGAGAGGACTGAGATCAGATATTTTCAATTCAATGGCACAGAAAGAGAGAGAGAATTGAGCGGCAGCGGAGTGAGTGGCTGGGCTTTGATTTGTGCAAATATATAGGGAGGGAGATTTACTATCATATGAGACAGAGATCATGAGATTCACGTTAAATTGACCATATATATGGCCTCGACCTCGAAAATAATTTACATGAAACGAGCACGATATTATTGTATCGTTGTTAAACCGACACCGAAAAATTATCTAATTATACCAATAAATATGTAAATATGTATTATTCTATTATAATACTACCATAAAGATGCATGTAAATCGCTCTCCTTGCTGTGGTGGCGCTTTTTTATTGTTCGGTGCGTGGGGTTACCGCGTATAAATTGTCAATGCCCATTGCATATATATATATATATATATATATATATATATATATATATTTTTTTTTTTTTTTTTTTTGTCAAAGAGCTTCATTGAAAAAGGAGACAAGGCTCCAAAACAAAACCAACAGACCAAGACAGCACACAGTTGAGGCCAGCACAATTATACTATGTCGGTGCGCCCACAAATCTTACTGACCTAGTTACAACGTGTGCATTTAAATATAGGTATATTTTTGCTCATCATCATTTAGTACGATGTATGCTCACCATTTTATTTATTATCGTTAAATGAGTTTAAATTTCGAGATTCGTGTAATGGATAAACACAAATCTTAAAAATCAAACTCATCTAACGGTAATTTTCTATTCATCATACACTCTTCATATATGTGTTTTTCTTTCCAAATATAGAAAGTTTTACATGTAGAATAAAATTTTAGAATGTCAATCATAATTTTCTATATATATTTATATATATAATTTTGTAGTTTGGGTAAAATATCTAAATATGAAATTAAATATATATTTTTGGAACTTGCCGTGCAGTGTTTTGGGGGGGCCCAAAATATATAATTTTAAATATGTGTGTGTATATATAATATATATAAATATATTTTAGAATTTGAATTTAATAAAATATTTAAATATAAAATCATATAGTTGTCTTGAAAGTTGAAACTTGGCATACAAAATGTCTTGGGTGGGGTGAAATAGAAACTTCAGCAACAATTCACCTTTTTTTTTGGAAATTTAACGCACAGAGCAAGTCTGCGATGGACCCATTTGCAATGCTTATGAGATCTTGAAGGTGCTTCGGTGGCGTCCAGAGACTAATAAAAGTGATGGTAAGTTGGGTTTTTTTCATTGGATTTTGTAGCTTCCAATTGGGTGTTTGTTGTAATTAACTAGGTGTTCTAATAACTGGCAATTTTTTTTACAGTGGAAGTGATTTTGGAGGTGAAAAATGAGTTGATGAAGAGTAACCAAGAGAGTGAAGTTTAGGAAGAGTGGTCTGGAGATCCATGTGTTCCAGTTCCATGGGATGGTATTACTTGTGAATCTGTTGTTGGTTATGTTGTCATTACTGTATTGTAAGTTATTTTTTTCCATTTTCTTATAAGTTCTGCAAATGGCTTTCATGGAATCATGAGAATATGGCATTTTTATTGAATTATACTAGTTTTCAGTGTTGTGGGATGCTTTGGGAGTGAAGTTTTATCGGGTTTTTTCGACAAAAACGTATTGTTAAAGACCATAAATCCAGAATTGTGATAAATGCCTTAAAACCATAATAAGTTTAACATAGAATATTTGATAATAATTTTTAGGTTCTTGTTAAATTACTAAAAAAGGTTTGATTGCAAAGTAGGTAAAAGAAGACAGTTATCAGCTTTCAGCGGAAATTGATAATTCATTAGATTAATTGCTTTTGCTTTCTTAGAGTTATTTCATATATAACTTTGCTCATGATTTCGAATTTCAGGTATTCTGAACAGTCATAGTTCTGCATGACTCATTTTTTATTTTGAATCGGTTCTTCTTTCCCACTCCACTTACAGAGGTCAGGACTCAGGTACCCGATCAATGCTTCTCTTCTCTTATGCTTCTTTTTCTATATTTAATTTGTGAGTGTTGTGGGATTTTCGATTCTAGGGTTTATGATTTGTTTATTTTAATGTGTATTGTTTATGCGAAATCAGAGTATTCACTTGTCTAGTGTCTATATTGCAGTTATAAAATTCGAACTTGTGGATGCACTTAATAAAGTGGTTAAATCCCTTCAAGAAGATACATGGATTATGGGTACACTTAACAAGGTTGGTTACTTTTGCTTCCTAACTAGTTTTGGTTCAAGATAATTCAAAGTTTTGATGTTGAATTTTACCATATTTTTTATGCGCCTTGTTTTGTGTTGTGTCATTTGTATCAAACTGTTGTGTTGGGTAGTGGGTAAAATTTGAATTTTAGTTTTCTTCTTTATCAATTTGTTGTTTATAGAATATTGAGTTGATTGTTGATTGTTGATTGTGGGGTTGTGATTTCTTGATTGAAAAAGAGTTGGTTATCATGCCTCCTATTAGAAATAGTAAGCCCACTAACAGAAACAGAAAGTATCTCTCTGGGTCTCAAAAAAGAAGAAATAAGGAAAAGGAAGAAACATTAATAAAGTCTTAGGTTGGATCTCTTAGTAAGTTTTTCAAGAAACAAGATGATATTTCAGTGAATGAGGAACAAGGGAATCATGACAGTAATGGGGAGAAAGATGAATTCACGACTGAGATTGATAACGAAGAGCAAGATGAGCAATATGAGCCTCTATCTGACGATGGTATTAAAGAGCAAGAAGATGAAATTCTGATTGAGACTGACATTGAAGAACATGATTAAACTAATGAGAACGGTAAGGATAATGAAATTGTCTTTCCTTTGAATACTGATGATCCAGGGAATTGGGATAAGATTGATCAAAATCTTAGGGACATGTTAGTGGAAAGAGGTTCTAAAAGAGTTGATGATGTTGCATTTCTGAAAGATAATTCAGGTAGGCATTTTTCTTCTGTACATTACATTAGAAAATTGCCTAATGGGGAGATGCAAGATAGGAAGTGGCTAGTATACTCATGTTCTTTGGATATAGTATTTTGTTTTTGTTGCAAGTTATTCAAGCAAATTGGAATCAAGACTTACCTGGATAATGAGGGTTTGAAAGATTGGAAGAATATTGGTCAGAGGCTTACAACTCATGAAACTAGCAATGAACACATTCACTTCATGAGTGAAAGGATTAAATTGGAAAGAAGATTTCAAAAATGTAAAACAATTGATGAAAGTGTGCAACAACAAATGAGCAAAGAGAAAGAACATTGGAGACAAGTGTTATGGAGGAAAATTGTTGTTGTGAAAAGACTTGCAAAAGTTACTTTGGCATTTCGTGGAGACAATGAGAAGCCGTATGAAGAGAATAATGGAAATTTTTTAAATGTGATTGAAATGATTACTGAATTTGATCCTACAATGCAAGAGCACATTCGGCATATTGATACACATGAGACTCATTACCATTATCTTGGTCACAAGATTCAAAATGAATTGATACAACTGTTGGCAAGTGAGGTCAAAAGTGAAATCATAGCAAGAATCCGAGAAGCAAAGTATTTTTCAACGATACTTGGTTGCACTCCGCTTACCAGTCACAAAGATCAAATGTCTTTTATAATAAGGTGTGTGGATGTTACAAAAACTCCAATAAAGGTTGAAGAATTCTTTTTAGAATTTCTGAATGTACATAACTCAACAGGGTGTGCACTGTTTGATGTGCTTTTAGGTGCATTGAGCACTCTTAAACTTGATGTTGATGACACAAAGGGACAAGGTTATGACAACGGTTCAAATATGAAAGGCAAAAATAAAGGCGTGCAAAGCAGAGTACTTGAAATAAATCCTAGAGCATTCTACACTCCATGTGGCTATCATAGCCTTAATCTTGCACTTTGTGATATGGTCAACTGTTGTCCTAAAGCTATGTCTTTTTTTGGAGTGGTACAACGTATATATACATTGTTCTCATCCTCAACAAAGCGATGGAAAGTTTTTACATATCATGTGCAAGGAAGTCACACCCTCAAACCGTTGTCACAAACTCGTTGGGAAAGTCATATTTAAAGTGTTAAACCCATAAGAGAAAGCGCTTAACAGATAAGAGATGCTTTGATTCACTTGGCAAATTCTAGTGAAGATCCTAAGTCAAAGAGTGAAGCCGAATCCCTAGCAATCCATGAGCTGGAGAATTTTAAGTTCTTGTTAGGTATGGTTATTTGCCATGAATTGTTGTTTGCTATTAATACTGTTACCAAAACTCATAAAAAAGAAGACATGCGTATTGATGTTGCTATTGATCAATTGAAAGGGCTTATATATATTCTTGATCAGTATAGAGAATCTGGATTTGAAGAGGCAATGAATGAAGCTAAGAAAATAGCAAGTGAGATGGAGATTGAGCCTATTTTTCTTGAGAAACGCATTGTTGATGCACAAAACCGGATGGTCTTGGAACAACGTAAATCCGATTGTGGATCTGCAATGAAATGTAAATAACACAAGATGTATCGTGGTTCACCCCAAGGTTTGGGCTACGTCCACACTGATTATGTATTTATTTGAGGGAATAGAGAGGGAGAGGGTGAAAGCTTCTGAGAGCTTCTGAGGATGAGAGAGGGGATCTCAGGCCTAGGAATTGGCCTCCGAGAGTGAGAGTGAGGCCCCTCCTCAATTGTGAGGGTGAGGGGTCCTTTTATAGAATAAGGACTCCTCACTTATTACATATTTGCCCCTTCCTTTATCCCATAATTACATTTAAGTCCCCTGAGTATTTGTACGAGATCTAAATACGAGGCCCTAAATATGGTATAAACAGTAGTCCCCCAAGTCTTCAGTCAAGAGAGTCTTTTGGCTGGAGACTTGAAATTCAGTCCATGTGTGGGCCGAAGTAACTAGATGTCGTCTAGAACTAATGCTTGATATGAGGCGGTGCCCAATCTGAAATGATGCTCAACTAGAAGTAGCACATGTTGCGAGGCCGTTCTGCTTTGTAGCTTGTGTTGCCTTGGTTGGCTCGGCTTGTGGCGTTTGAAGGTGAGGGAGTCCCTTTTATAGAATAAGGGCTCTCTCCTCAATACATAAGTGATGGGTTAGAGTTGATGCTCGCAGTGAGACAGTTGCTCAGTAGGCGGCGATGCTCTCTAATGGTGGTGAGGGAGTCCCTTTTATAGAATAAGGGCTCGCTCCTCAATACATAAATCATGGGTGATCTTTCAATGAAAGTGAGGGAGTCCCTTTTATAGAATAAGGGTTCGCTCCTTAATACATAAATAATGGGCTAGAGTCCCCCAAGTATTTTTCATGAGGCCCAGTTGAGGCCCAATATATGGTACATAATGTAGTCCCCCAAGTCTTCGGTCAATAGAGTCTGTTGGCTGGAGACTTCAAATTGAATCCATGTATGGGCCGAAGTGGCGGTTGTTCGGAGGCGGTATTTGTATACCCTGCACTGAAGCTTTGTAGGTGAAGCTTTTGTAGGTGAAGCTTTGCAAGTGAAGCTTTGAAGCTAGAGCTCTGTAAATGAAGTCTTTGAAAGCTAGAGCTTTTGTAAATGAAGCTTTTGAAGCTAGAGCTCTTGTGAATGAAGCTTTTGAAGCTAGAGCTCTTGTAAATGAAGCTTTTGAAGCTAGAGCTCTTGTGAATGAAGCTTTTGAAGCTAGAGCTCTTGTAAATGAAGCTTTTGAAGCTAGAGCTCTGTAAATGAAGCTTTCGAAACTGATTGACATGAGTGATGCTCATGAATGTTTATGTTGATTGACATGAGTGATGCTCATGGATGTTGACATGAGTGATGCTCATGAATGTTTATGTATGATTGGATGAGTGATGCTCATGAATGTTTATTTATGGTTGACATGAGTAATGCTCATGAATGTTTATGTATGATAAATATGATTAATGCTCATGTATGATTTGAAGTATTGGGGGTACTTTTGGTGACCTGGCTGGTGCTATTTTGGGCTTATGGACCTTCGCCCTCTACACAACATTACAGCCCATTTACTTTGGGCTTTGCCATTTTTTTTTTTTTTTTTTTTTTTTAAATTTTTTTTTAACCCTCTGATGGGGTTTATACAAATGTTTCCGAAAGATAAGGAAAATAAATTACATCATTCTGATGGGATATTGATTCCTCATTTTTGCAGTGTCTCCATGTGCATCCCTTTTGCTTTCCTCTTTTCTGCTTTCCGAAATATTCTCCCAACAACATGATCTTTTTCTTTTCTGTTCCTTTCTTTGATCTCTCCACCTCCAGACACACTCACTTGCTTTTACTTTTACTTTCCCTTTTCTTTCTCTTTTCCTTTTGCTTTGTCCGTCACTGCCTTTCTCTTTCAGCCTGGTTTCTGCTGTTTGAACACAAGCTGGTGTACTCCAGCTGTAAAAAATGTAAATAACGTAAAGAACGTGGCCTCCCACTCCATTTCTTTGTCTTCAGAACCCCACCTCAATGACCATTTGCTATCGTGGTCAAAGCATGTTCAGATTCACGTGTTCTGTTACTGGGCACTTCAGGTTTAAACTTCATGGGAAAACTCAAGTACTGGGCAAATTTCAAGTTCCCATTGATAATGATTTCTTATCTGAACAAGATCCATTGCAACTAAAACCCGAAAAGATATTGATCTTTCCATTTCTCTTTTTCTTCTTGCTTTGAGACGGGGTTCTCAGTGAAGTACTCGGAGTTCCTGCCTGCTCTTTGGTTGCTTGTGCTTCTGACCACCTCATTCTCTTTAACAGAAATAAACGCAGCAGCGCCAACCTTAGAGAACAAAACGTAATTTGCCGTCCTAGCCTGCCGTCATTCCTACACTTGGCAGCGCCAAACCCTCGCCAACCCCAGCCTGGTCTTCTTCCGAGTTCCTTCTGAGTTGACCCGTTCTGTATCAATCGAGCCGTTCGATTTCGCCGCCCTTTTCGTGTTGTTTTTCTTGCCGGAGCCCCGTATCAATCCAGGCCTTCGGACCTGGCGAGGTTCTCTGACCTGGTCGACCCGCCTGAGTCGTGCGCTGGGTGTCTGTACAAGTCACCAGGTCGGGATCCTGTCACTGCCGAGCTCCTATTGCAGAGGCCGACGCTGAGTTCCTCCATCATTTAACCAATCCAAGCTAGAGAGACAAGACAGAGATGAGAGATTTGATTCCCTGAATCTGCCTTGCTAGATTTGCCAGAACCAGTGCCTTTCTTGCCAGAGATGGAGTCATCGGAAGAGATCAGGCGGTGCTTGTAGATGCGGTTGGTGGGTTCTGGGATCCGTACCCGAGAGAGATTGGGTCGGAGCAGGTCCATGAGGTCGAGCGTCGCTCTTTGTGCAGAAAGAAAGGGTTTTGAGATTGGATAGGCAAGACGAGAGAGGTGAATTTTTCTGTATGCTTTTGCCTTTTGAATACAAAAGCAACAGGCAATTCGTTTTGAAATTTCTCTGGTATTCTTCGTCTTGTCTCGACTCTACTGGAGTGATGAGAGAGAATGAGAGAGTGTGTCTTGGCATGCCTAATGGGCTGTTTCTAAAACTTGTTTTTGAATGTGGTTTTGGAAATGGATTTTTGGGCCATTTCTGGGTTTCTAGAGAGAGAGAGAGAAATGGGACTGGGATTTTGGTTTGGTGTTTATGCAGAATCACGGCAGAGGTGAAAAAAAAATGAAAGAGAACCGACATAGTTTTTTGTATCGATTCCCACAGACGGCGCCAAATGTTGATGCACAAAACCGGATGATCTTAGAACAACGTAAATCCGACCGTGGATCTGCAATGAAATGTAAATAACACAAGATGTATCGTGGTTCACCCCAAGGTTTGGGCTACGTCCACACTGATTATGTATTTATTTGAGGGAATAGAGAGGGAGAGGGTGAAAGCTTCTGAGAGCTTCTGAGGATGAGAGAGGGGATCTCAGGCCTAGGAATTGGCCTCCGAGAGTGAGAGTGAGGCCCCTCCTCAATTGTGAGGGTGAGGGGTCCTTTTATAGAATAAGGACTCCTCACTTATTACATATTTGCCCCTTCCTTTATCCCATAATTACATTTAAGTCCCCTGAGTATTTGTACGAGATCTAAATACGAGGCCCTAAATATGGTATAAACACGCATCATTTGAAGAAAGAAACAATTTGATGAGAGTGCTAGTGAAGCGGCAACACAATCAGCAATTGAAGCTTTTAGAGTTGATTACTTTATTTATATAGTTGATCAAGCTCGTACTTCACTTCATATCAGGTTTGAACAATTTTAGAAATACGAATAAACTTTTGGGCTTTTGTTTAATTTGAAGAAGTTAAAAGATATAGACAATGATAGCTTGAAGGGTTTTTGTATCAATCTTGAAGGATGTCTTAAACATGATGAGCATTCTGATATTGATGGAAAAGACTTATTTATAGAGCTAAGAATCTTAAGAGAAACTTTGCCGAAGGAAATAAATCGGGCAATGGAAGTGCTGAAATATATAAGACAAATTAATGGTTGTTTCCCAAATGCATGGGTTGCTTATCGTATTTTGTTAACCATACCAGTTACAGTTGCCTCTGCAGATAGAAGTTTCTCAAAATTAAAGTTGATCAAATCGTATCTTCGATCAACTATGTCACAAGAAAGATTGAATGAGTTATCTATTTTGTCAATTGAAAAAGAATTGGTTGAAAAGTTAGATTATGTAAACTTAATTAATACATTTGTGTCTAAAAACGCGAGACGTGTAATATTTAAGTAATGTTTGCATATATTTCTTCTTTGGATATGAATTCTAATGATTTTTGATGTAGAAATGAACTTTTTCATGTATTTAGCGAAATCTTTTCTTATATATATAAATGTACAATGAGTTGGGTGTCAAAGAACTTTAGGGCCCCTACTCGAAGGCTCGCCTAGGGCCCCCAATTTCTCAGGGCCGACCCTGAATATAAACCTGTTTTTTTGTTCTCAAAATTTTTTACCATTAACTTTTCTAAAATAATATATATATATATATATATATATATATATATATATATATATATTAGTTTATCTTAATTATGCACAATCATCTAAAGGGAAGTGTTATTGACACTTTAAAAATATCATTTTACACTCATCAAGTGTATATTTCTTTCTAAATATAAAAAGTTTAGAGTGTAGAATGAGAAATTTAGAATACCAATAACAATTCTGTTAAAGCGTAAAAATTTCATAATTAACACTTACCAATTATACTCCTACCTCTTGCTACACGTAATAAATACACTTCAATTTTTTACTACACACACACGAAACATGCTAAACATACTCCAAGCACTTATACACACACATCATTAAGGTCTAATTATCTAACGCACATCATTCCGCTCTTTGAGCTATCATCTTCATTTGTCACTATCAGTATATTTTAGATACCTTTATTTGTAAATTAAATGTTTCAGTTTTGACTAATATAAATAATGAGTTATGAATGGTGAGAGATTTGATTTCGATCCACAGAACCCAAAACCTAATTATTATGTCCAACTCATTATTTAACTTAAATATCTCATTCTTTCTCAGCCTTACACGCGCATGAGATGCTTTCATTCTTACATCCATTGGGTGCTTTCTTTCGCTTTTCCTTTTTTTTTTTTACTTATTGTATTTTTATCCATGATTATTTAGTCTAGTAACAATGTGACACACTATAATATTACAATATTATGTTAGCAATATTGAATTTAAATTTCATGGTAGCTGGAGGAGATTCTCTCTTGAAATCAAGAGGAAATTGTTGTAATAGTTCCTCAACTTTACTCAATTGGAGCAATGGTTCCTCAACTAAAAAGGCATGATCATTAGTCCTTAACTCTTTAAAACGTGCAGCTATGGTCATTTTCATCTACTCCATCTGAACTTCTATCAAACAAGTTATGTTGGAAGAATCATTGTTACAATTGGATTAAAGTTAAAGGGACCATTGCTCCAATTGGGTTAAAGTTGAGAGACCATTTCTCAAATTACATTAAAATTGAGGTAATTTTGTCAGAAGTTTTAACGGAAGGCCTAATCGGATAAATGGTCCCCGCGGTCATAAGGTATTCGGATGATAGCCTCTGTGGTAAAAAAATTCGGATTTAAACTCATGTGGTCACAGTCTGTTAGGATTTAAACCCTTGTGATATAAGTCTGTTAGGATTTATGCCCTTCTGTCATTCCTCCATTAGGTTTAGGTTGGCCAAATCGGATAAATGGTCCCCGTGGTTATAAGGAATTTGGAAGATAGCCCCTGTGGTAGAAAAAATTCGGATTTAAACCCCTGTGGTCTAAGTTTATTAGGATTTATGCCTGAAATTAGAGGTTCTGTCATTCCTTCGTTAAGCTTACAGGTGGAGCAGAGTTTCTTTGAGGAGACGCGACAGAACGAGGTGGAACTAATAAATCACATAATTCATTAAAATTCAAGATCTAATATATCAAATAATTCAAAATACCTTTATAAAAATTAGCGAGTTTTTGACTCCCGAATGTCCAACCGATTAATTAATTCTTTATAACATATTCTATTTTTCTTTGACAAATAAGAGTAACGTTGACGTTTTCCCAGAATTTTACGTAAACACCTTGAGATAAATAGTTTTTTTTTTTTGTGTAATTGTAAATGTGAAGTAAGTCTTCATATCCTATTGGTGAAACTAACTATTTGAAATTCAACAGATCTTCTGTTTTCGTCTTTTTCTTCTTGTGAAATAACTGAGATGAATGAATTTTTTTACCATAAACTGAAATCTTCTCTCCCCCTCTTTTTTATTGTAAGATATTTTTTTATTGATAGATACTCAGAGAAACTCTGCTCCACCTATAAGCTTAACGAAGGAATGACAGAACCTCTAATTTCAGGCATAAATCCTAATAGACTTAGACCACAGGGGTTTAAATCCAAATTTTTTCTACCACAGAGGCTATCTTCTAAATTCCTTATGACCACGGGGACCATTTATCCGATTTGGCCAACCTAAACCTAATGGAGGAATGACAGAATGGCATAAATCCTAACAGACTTAGACCACAGGGGTTTAAATCCTAACAGACTGTGACCACAGGGGTTTAAATTTGAATTTTTTTACCACAGGGGCTATCATCCGAATACCTTATGACCACGGGGACCATTTATCCGATTAGGCCTTAACGGAATTAACGAAAATGACCATAACTGCACTTTTTGATGAGTTAAGGACCAAATGGTCATAGATTTTTAATTTATGGACTATTGCTCCAATTGGGCAAAGTTAAAAGACGATTGCTACAATTTTCTCTGAAATCAATGCGTAATCTCAGTATCGATCTAAAAACAAACAAGAATACATTTTAATATATATATATATATATATATATATATATATATATATATATATATATATATATATATTGATTAAATCTTGATCTCGACCCACCATATCGGCTGATGTTGATTAAGAAAAATAATTCCTACTTGGTTCTAATGATTTGTGTGACTATGCCAATTCATGAAGGTGGACACTTGATTTTCTGGCTGGACGGTCAAAGTTGATTTTAATTGTTCCATCAAAATATTGCTCTATGTTGTCTAGATTGACTAAACTATTTTGGATACAACTGGCTTGCTTTCATTAATCAAACACCAATCTGAAGGCAAACTGATATCTGATCACCTAATAGTTATGGGTATTTTGATGTTGGCATTTTCTTGATTAGTTTGGATTAGGAGTGTATGGTCTCTATGACTTTAACTAAGGCATGGAAATTCATGTTTGTCCCTATGACTTTATAGTAGACTCTAAAATTTAAAGCTAATGGTTGGACTCTTTCAAGGACTTGGTAACATGAAGTTTTTATGTTTTATGTGAATGCTTTCAGTATGTGGCGGTCTGAAAGACTTATTGTGAGATTTGGGAAACAATCAAAATGAATTGGTCCGTTGTAAAGATTTGACTCAATCATTCCAAGAATGCTATCACTAAAGTCAGTGAATCTTGCATCTCAGAGACATAATAAAATAAAGGTATTGATGCGTCTTCTTGTTAAGGGCTTGATTACTATTTGGACTAGACCTATGTGAATGTAATTGTAACCATCTTTTCTATGAGTTTTGATTTGTTCTGGTGTGAATAATTGACAAGTTTC